GCCCTGCCGCTAGATGGAGTCCTCAGCTAACCCCAGGATCAGGGTTGTGTATAGCCAGCTTTGGTTGCCCAGCCACCCTGCTCCAGGCACAGCTTGGATACAGCCCAAAGTTGAGTCCACTAGATTTGTGAGGAGGCTTTTAATATCTTTTTGTGTAACTAAAGTATTAAAGCCTGGCATGTCCCTGTACTTTTGAGAAGTTTTCTCATGTTTCAGGGTGTGGTCTCAATTGGTGTTTCTTTTATACATTTTGTAATTCTAAAAATATTTTGCAATTGAACAAGATCCTCAAAGCAACACATTTTGATAGTAAAGGGCACTGCTTATAAGTGGAGAGATCTTTCTTTTCCTTATTCCCTTTTCTTCATTCCCACTTTGCCCAGGCCTAAAGCTGGCAAATCCTTTCTGTGAACAAGAAAGGCTGGACTCCCTCCATCAAATCAGTCGTTGCCACCTCGGGGGTCACTGAGGGGCTGGTATTAGGTATGGCTGGCCTGAACATTTAAAATTTTGCATTTTTTTTAAAAGGTTTTAATGGTTTTCCCCTGGATTTGTATCCAAAGACAATCCCAGAGCTTGAGTACCTTTTACAAATGGTTGCTTATTATGTCAGAGGATCTCTTGCTACATTTTTGTTGCCTTTAGTCCTCCTTTTTGTCCTCTTACAATCCCTTCCTCTAGAAGGCCTGGTGAGAGGAAAGGGGTGGATCTTATCATTAATGTACACTTCTCCTCTGATCTGTTGAGGAGTAGTGTTGAATGGTTCTGAAAAGTACCATCCCCAAACAAGTTGAATGTGATGATGGCTAGAAGGTGAGGATAGATGTGTGGCTCATGGATGCTCTACACAAGAGCGCTTGAAATGACAGCATTTAAATATACAACTTACTAAATTCAGTGTTTGATTTTCATGTTTTCTCTTTCATTTTTCTGAATAGACATAACAATAACACAGGACGGTGGTTAACTAGGTTCAGAGCAATATGGGACCCTAAACAGGAAGACTGTTTTGTGGTTGGCAGTATGGCACGCCCAAGGCAAATAGAAATCTTCCAGGACACTGGTGAACAGTTGCACTCTTTTTATAATGTAGATTACCTTGGCTCTGTTTGTTCCATCAATGCCGTGCACCCTACAAAGAATATCTTAGTGGGTGGTAACTCCAGTGGTCGTCTCCACGTTTTCAAGGATTGAAAAGGTTGCTGAATTTTTTTCCTACATAAAGTATGTTTGTTTCTCAGGACAAAAATATGCATTAAAAGGTTTTAAATTACATTTTATTATTTTGGAAACATTCTGTATTTTTTTTTTAAGTTCCAAATATTAAATCTGTAGCAGTCCTACCATACCAACCTATGGTGAGTCGTGTATTCAAGTAGGGAAAAGCTGCATCCATACTAAAAAGTCATATTTCCTAAAGCCATTTTAAGTATGACCTTTAACAAATATTTATCATGTATAGTTTTAACATTGGGCCTCAACTTGCTCTTTAGACGTAATACATCATGATTGTGGCTTTCCTGAAATTTACCTTAAGTTTATTATACAACATAGTCTGTGTTTTCAGTAAAACATATCCCTTTAGTAAAATGTCTGACATTGGGCCATGAAATCTTACTCCCAGAATTGTTTAATGTTGGTGTGTGTAAATGAATGTTGTCAGGTGCACTGAGAATTGGGTAAAGAACATGATAATAAATCGCAATACACTGAGGTGCTCAGTTGTTCTGGGATGCTGCATTAGGTGGGAACTGTAACTTTATTTAACCTCTTCACCGATATTTGGAAATGGAAGTAAACAGCACTTTGATGAAATTTCACAGATAATATTGTGGGATGTAGAGCTGGGGGTTACTGTGGGTTCGCTCTTCTGGTAGCACCTTCAAACTCCTCTCCGGGATTAAGGTCCCGTTGTTGGAAGCACTGTAGATATGTAACACAGACAACAGTCCCTGCCCCAGGAAGTTCACTTTCTACAAATGAGCTAGGACACAATGGCCTAAATACAGAGAGGATGGGGTGAGTTGAGAGGCTGAGGTAATAAAATAAACAGGGTTTTGCAGAAAAGCACAAATCAACCATTGTTGCTTGCCTAATGGTTTCATTGTAAAGGTGACAAGTTAAGGTTGCAGCAGGATATTCTCTCTCTAAGGTGGCTAAGCTGTTGAATAATACAGTGGAAAGGATTGAGCCTTGCCCCTCTGCAGCTGACTGTCGACAAGTGACACTGGAGACAGTTTTTGTTAGCTTCTTGATTTTTAGCTTGTGTAGAAAAGGGAGGGGAGGTGGTCTGTAGTTTGTGATACTCCAGCATCACGAAGTAGTTTCTCTTAGTATTGGTTGTAGTATTGCATCTTTTAGTATGGATGCTAGATCATCATCGCCTTCTTTGACAGGAACAGTCCCTTTTAGGAAGGGGCTGCAGATGTTTCACACGCTCTCCCTTAGCATCCAGCAAGGAGTCAGAGTTGCAGGTGGTGGCACTGACTGTTCTGTGTTTCCATGACACTTTTACTTGTGTCAGTGGGCTCAAACTTTGGAAGGAGGAAATGGTGTTTCTGGTCCTGCTTTCAGCTTGTTATTGATGGTCCCAGGCTATCCCAGATGTGGGTGATTTTTTTTCCTGAGAAGTAAGAGAATTCTTGGCAGCAGGAGATGGTCTGGATCAAACCTCTCGACTGAGGCAAGTTCAGCCTCAGACTGTGTTTTGCAGGATAGGACCTCAAAACCTTTTTGCATAGACACCCCTACTCTGCTGTGGGCTACTGCTTGCTGCCCTCCTCTCCTTTCCTTCAAGGGCATAAAGAAGTCTGGAAAGAAAGGAGTGGAGCTGCCTGGGAGCAGAGGAATCAAAGCGGCCACAGGCCCCTCTGCTCGTGAGAAGCTGCGGTTGAAAGAGTTTAGAGCTGTGTGTGGACACTTACACACTCCCTGGTTGGCCCTCTTTCATTTTCACTAATGTGTAAGCAGGGGCTGAATGAGCTCTCCCCTGACAGCTAGTGGTGAACTGGGGGGAAAGACTCAGAGCTGCCTCTTTGCAGAGACACACCTACTCTGCCAAGGGGATCAGCAGACAGACCTGCATTGCTGGAGTGATTGATTTTGGCTGGTTTGGGTTAAAATTCACTCTACTCGGACATTAAGGATAACATTTCATTACCATGGCATTCAGTATTAAAGGCAGCAGGACTATCCTTGGGGAGCCCTTATTGGGGAGGGGTGTCACCCTAACTTTAACCTCACTCACGGTCAGGAGAAGTGATGCCAAATGTGAGAGTCCAGAGGGGGCGGAGTATTTAAACAGGTCCACACAACCAGGCTTAAAGGGTGCCGGAAGCCATTTCATCCTTCCAGTCACTGTTTTAAGACAGCTGACTAGATGCATTGGAGAGGCCTGGCTCCTTCTCAGTGATCTGCTGACCTACGGGCACTAACCTTAGCCCTGGCACAGAGACAGTGCTGTGGTGAAAAGACCATGCAGGAGAGGTGGCAGCAGAGGTTCCCGGCTATCCTGTGAAATCACTGAAGAGCTGAGATCACCGAGAACTGGATGAACCTGAGAACACCACTGCCACCATTACTGCTGCGTCTCTGTGATGCTGGGGAGCCATGGCAGTGATAAATTGGAGCAGAGGTACTAGCAGGCCACCACCCCCATCCCTCAGGAGCAAGACGGTAACCCCCCCCCCCCCCAGACACGCCTCTGGAATCTGGGGCCATTGCTGACCTCAGACAGCACGAGTGGGTTTCCAAAGGAGGAAAAAGGGGAGTTGCACGGTAGAGACCTTCATCCCTTGGACTTCAACAGCACAAGGTGAGAATCAGACAACAAGGACACTGCCCAAGATACTGTGAGGTGCACGTTTTACTTCTTGGTGGTGTACTTTCAAATCATTGTTGCAGGGTTTTTCCAAATTAATGCTGTTTTCTTGTGTTATACACAGACTCGGTGAGGCAGTATTACCTCCTTGGAGGCACCCAGGGTGGTGGTTTGTTTTCCTAGATTACTGGAGTGGCTGGGGGCAGGGTGTGTGTGTGTGTGTCAAGCCAGTTCTGTTCTGTATAAAGAGGAACCTGTCGCTTGATGCTGCCTACGCTACCTGGCAGAAGGATTACACTGATACCTGATTCACCCTGCAAACCTTAAAAACTACAATGTGGTATAAACCTTCATTGCTCAAGTCAAGGCACTTCTGGTTTTAAGGGACAAGTGGGTCCTGCAAAAGTCTGCTGAAATGAGGTCACTTTAACACACCATCTCACCACTCTGCTACACAATGACCTCTGCAGTGGGTAAGCAAAAAAGTTGTGCCATTTTCTGCCTTAAATTTCCAGCCTGGCTTGGCTTCGCTCTTGAAGCTGGATCTGAGAGCCATTTTCAGTCCTGCTTCATTGCTGTTGGTTTCAAAATGCAAGTGCTTTGGTATTCACACTCTGTATGTAAGCAGTGTATAATGAGTTGAATTGTGATCAGTTAGCTATGCCTGGCACCATGCCCAGCAGAACAGGAAGAGGGCTCAGAAGGTGATAGGTGTCCCTGTATTTCTGATTTGTTAGATTCATCTTTCTGTATGAGGTCAGCTTCATCCTGGCAGCAATACATGTTTATAATGTAGCCTGAATCTGCTCTTTGGTTTAGTTAAATGTTTCAAAGGATGGACTTTTAGAAAACCAAGCGAGTCAACAAGGATGAAGGCAAACTTGTTAAAAGCCATGCAGATGCATATAATGATACAGTGAGATCACGCTTGCATTAGGCTTATCGGTGTTTGTAATTTTGGAATTTCTCTGCTTAAAGGGCCAAATTCAGCACTGGTTTTTTTTGTTTTTTTTTGTCAATGGGAAGTTAGCGTAAGTTAAGGGTGCAGAATTTGGACCCATTGTGTTTAAGGGCCAATTTCTTCAGTTCTTGATCAAGTAAAACTTGTTGAAGCTGTAAAATATTAACTATCACCAGTCAAATGAGCAATTTATTTAAAAGTAAAAAATGCCAACTCTTGTTTTCATGATACTTAAATATTTATTTAAATTTAAAAATACTTTTCATGGCACCAATGATTTTATGCTGACTACATATTGAATATGTAGAAAAGGGTACATTATTTTGGAGGGAAAAAAAGTAACTTACAGTATTTGGCACATGAAAGGTTAACTTCTATGAAAACTAAAAAATTCACATTTTCTGGTATTTTTACCCTCTACTGCTTTAAAGATGCAGTACACTATTCTTTATTAAGAGTTTTGCTTCCTCTGATATAAGAACTATGGAAACGACGTTTTATACAAAGGACAGATAAAACTAACAGCTAGCAAAACATGAAACGTATGGCACAGAGGGGGGGAAAATGTAAGATTAAAAAATTACTAATTGTAATGGTTTTAGGATAAAATGCCAGGTGAAAACAGTAAAAGGTTAAACCAAGGTGTGGTATTTATTACTATTCTAAAAGCAGATTGATGCAAAAGTTTTGTTAAGGTTAATATTTCATACCTTGTGGTTTTTGAAAATGAAAATGTTTACAGTACAACATATTGGAGCTGCACCTGTCACTGAATGATAATGTATTGTTATGACAAACAAGTAATATTAGCAATTAAAACAATGAAATACTGCATCTTTAACCTAGGATGAAAAATGTTTAGTTTAAGACTATCACTCACTGCATAGAAACACCATTTACTACAGACTGAGGTAGGAACACTACACTAAAAGTTAATTTTGCTATGTTGCATAAAACAGTATATATCCATGTAAAAATCTAGCCTTTTTTTTCTCCCATGGTTGGCATTCACAACTTAATATTAAACTGAATGCAAAATCTTTTTCAGCTCTTCTGATAATCAAATGGCCGTGGTTAATTTTTAAAGTAAAAGTGACATGAAACTATATATATATATTTTTTTAAGATCTGACAGACTAGTAAAATGGACCTTATTTATTGCAGTGACAAATAGTCTGAATCTAACTGACTTTCAGATTATTCTCTATATGGATGACTGAACATTTGGCAAAAGAGCACAACTGACCAGTTCAGGACAAAATCATAACTCATCTTCAAAGGGAGTGTGTGTGTGTGTACGCGCACCAGCAGTGCTTGAACTTGTGTGCAGAGATGGTTAAAGGTGCAGAAAATGTAAATCAGAGCTTTTACAATTAGGTCTATGGCCTCGGCTTGCTTAAAATCTCTCCCTGAGATGAAATGAAACTCTTGCTATTTGTTAAATATGCCCAGCTTCACAAGAAACTTTACAGTAGAGATTATTGCTCCCCTTACAAATGGGCTGCTGTTTTTGCCAGGTAATAAAAGATTCAAGTGTTCATGTCACAATAGAAATTAGTTAATTACACTTTTTTCCCTTAAGGATAGATCTCATATTTGTCTTGGTTTTTTTCACTGTTGCCTCCACTTCTGTAATTCTGCTCTTTACCTTTGAAAATTTTCAAAAAATCTGCTCTTTTTTCCAAAACAAGTAATGGGTTAATCTGCCATTAGAATTCCATTCTACAAAACATTTATTCTCAAAGTAATTGGCTTACTCCAATCATTTTGTATATCACACTATGTTCATCTAATCCATAAAGTTAAAAAAAGACTTGATTAGTATCAATAACAAAATGCTATTTTGTTTAAAATATAGGTTGAACAGTTTTTTTTATACAAAACAAGTACAACTTTCGGAGGCAAAATGTATTCCAAATCAATCCGGTCTGATTACTAGCTACACACCCAGACTTTATAGAACATAACGGAGTACATTTATCTACTACCCCCATATACTCAACTCCCACTGTCTTTAGGGATTTAACACCTCTATGGTAAACGCCACTGCGGTGCACTAAAGGTTCAAGGCTTAACATATTCAGAAAATGCCTATGTTGTAGACTAGGATAGGTATTCACATCTTTCTATGCTACTTAAAGGAACAGACACTGCCACTCCTGGCTTCCCTGTTTCTTGCCCACTCTGTTGTTTGTGAAAACGTTTCTAAGTTGATGGTATTGTACCAGATCACTTTCTAATGAATAAACCATTTGCCAGTTAAGACGCTCTAGTTAGTAAAAGGAGGATCTCTTTAAAATAATGTGAAGGTGGTAGTGCTGTGCACAGAGGCAGTTTTAATAATGAAACAATACACTAGTATTTAAATAACAACTCAGTAGCACCATTACTAAAGCTCCTGCATAATGCAATATTTCTAGTCTTGAACTAGTGTCGCTATTGGCTGACACTAATGCAATAATCAGTAGTAATAAAATAAATTCCTCTTATTTGATACCTTCAGAGTAATACATCTATGAAAATTAAAATCTTAAATTATTCTGCAAACTTCAAGGATTAAAAACTGAATGGTTGAGTACTTCAGGAAAGTGGAGCGCTAAAGAAATGCGTTTTTAATCTGGCATAAATCTATCCCTTTCTTCTTCCAGGAACAAACATCCTAGGGCGCAGTGTACTTTGATTCATGAAAGGAGGACTTAGTTTATGGGCCGATGGTGCCACGATGGGTCCCATTGGCTGGGAACTGGTAGCAGGTATCTTCTGAATCCACCTGGCTAGTTATTAGGAAGAGTCATGCCTTCAGGTGTCAATGAGCAGGCTCAGGACGGAGCGGACTTTGCAGGCAAACCATCGCCTGAGGGGACAAAAGTATTGATAATGGAATTGTTCAAACTCGGGGGTCTGGCGAATATCACGGAAAAAGGCAATGTCAAGGTCAGACTCGGTAAGGATGATCAGGAGAAGGAGCAAAACAAAGAGGAGTCCAACTGTCACAAGGAGCAAACGGAGGACACTTAAAACAAACTTATTCACCTGTGCAGCTTGTGTCCCGCCATCGCCACCACCACCCTGCCTCAAGGCTTTGAACTCTCCTCCCATCTCATCAGCCTCAGTTGCAGTAGGTGTGTTGGCTTCAGACTCCTTTTCTTCTTCAATACTGCAGGGGGCGCCATTGATCTGCCTGGCGAGCAGCATCAGCTCCAGGCTGTGTTCTGCCACCGGCGTCGGAAGCACGCTATCCGCAGGGCTGTAGATCTCGTCGGAGATGACTGCCACTCTCTCGCTGCTCTCAGCTCTGCTACTCCGCGAATGGGACATAAAAGCATCTCCATGAGAGGCTGAACGCACGGGGGTCGAGTGAGCGCTGTCCCTCAGCGACTCCAGGCCTGGAGAGTGAAAGACAGCAGGGTGAGAGATGTGCACGAGGCACAGGGGCGTTAGTTACTGGGTGTGAAGCCCTTCTCATGTATAGGACACCTCTACACCGCACCCCAGGAGTGCAAACTGCTTTCAAATAGTAGAGACACAAGGTGGTGAGGCAATATCTTTTATTGGACTAACTTCTGTTGGTAGGAGGGGAGAGAAACTTTCAAGCTTACACAGAGCTCTTCTTCAGGTCATGCCTACTAAAGAATTAAACCTGAGACACTGCCCTGGGGGCCATTATTATCCCTATCTTATGGATAGTGAAAACATAAGAATGGCCGTACTGCATCAGACCAAAGGTCCATCCAGCCCAGTATCCTATCTACCCACAGTGGCCAATGCCAGCTGCCCCAGAGGGAGTGAACCTGATAGGCAATGATCAAGTGATTGCTCTCCTGCCATCCATCTCCACCCTCTGACAAACAGAGGCTAGGGACACTATTCCTTACCCAGCCTGGCTAATACCTTCATGGAGGTTAAGTCCCTTAATGGCTAAAAGGAAGCACAGACAGGTTCTGCCCCCACATTTTCCTGCTAATTTTGGGTGCCCACCATGAGTGATCTGGTCTTTGCTCTCAGGGTTTTTTTGAGATAAGCACCCACAACTCCAGCTGAAATGAATGGACATTCTGCCCAATTAACACTTCTGAAAACCAGGCCTTATCCACTGCAGCGGGGCACCTAAAAACTAAGGAACCCTACATTAGTGGACAGTGTTGAACATTGAGGTCTAAGTCACTTAAACAAGGTTCCCCCCATGAATTGATGCCCTTTGTCACATCTAACCTTTCCTGTCATGTAGCAAAGGCTCTAGGCAGAGAAGCTGTGAAAATGAGCAGCAAGATGGTGACAGCCAGCCTAGAACGAGTGTTGCTGTGAGTTTTGCAGCTTTCCCTAATTAGGGGGGGAGGGAGAGCTGTACTACAGGTGAGGCAGTTCGAAGCTTTGTTTAAAATGATTTCTCAAAGTACTCTTCACTCCACAGGCATAGCTACATGGCCTTGAAAAAATTCTATCCCCTGGGGGGGGCTGGGGTGTCGTTGGGTCAAGGGTGTCACAAGCTCCAGTCTCCTCCTGCCTCCACGTGACCAGCTTCTCACTTTCATTTTCTTATCACACACCTCTGTAAAATTAGGTATAAAAACCTTGGGGCAGTAACCACATAAGCCAGGTTTCCCTGAGGTGAGCCAGTTTCTCGTACCCAGACCCAGCCCAATCTTTAAAGACTGATTAGATGTTCACTGTGGTTCCACAGGGCCGTGTAACCCTAACTAGAATCCAAGCTGGAGCTGTACCCTGTAGTGCCAGAGGGGCTTGGAAATGGCTCTGCTACCAGAGTCTGAGATACAGCCAGGCATCTATTTACCTGACCCCCCCAATCCCTGTCTGTACAATGAATCAAGTGATGCATGGAGCACCTGGTGTTCTGGCAGGAGGCAGAGACATGGACACACACCTCTTAGATAAGGGGGGAAAGGCTTGGTCCACGGCATGGGGATACAAGAGCTAGGAAGGGGCGTGCTTAATGCAGGCTGCAGCCCGGAGACTGGGGGAAGCGGAGAACTGGCATTCTCAGGCCAGGCCACAGCCACAACGCCCTGAGAGCAAGATGGGGACCTGAGACTATACAAGCTGCTACTGTCCATGGCCTGGAAAGGTGCCAGGTACCAGTAGCAACCGTAACGTGACACAGTTTTCTGTGCTAGTGAAGATAAATGTCTTGTGCAAGAGAATTCCATCAAACACACCTTCGCTCTGTCTCAGCAGCCGCACCGGGTGGCGCACGAGTATTCTGTGAGCAGTTTAACCTGCATCATGCATCGCCCCCCAGTAAATAGCGGAGAACTGCCACACTGATTAATGTCTCCAGGGAGTTGCTTTAGGGTGCTAATTGGAAACAAGGGCAGTAAAACCTTGATCCAGTGCAACCCGCCTCGCTCCTCCCACTGCAGGCTGTATTTGGCCAGCAGGGCGGACTGAGCACGAAGCTGTATGAGATGCAAGGAGCAGAATGGCACAAAGCCAGACACCACTGGGTCTTTGGCAATGAGGTGCCCCAGCATTGGTGCAAGTCCCAGCCTGTAAAGCAGTCACCCTTGGACAGTCCTGCTGGTTGATTTAGCCCATACACCAATACTCCAGGGGAGGGATGCTAGTGGGCCCCAGCAAAGGCCGGTGGGGGGGGGGCTTGCACAGTGAGCAGTGTAATTACTGTTAACGGAGGGGCAGTGGCAGAAAATGCACATCCTGCGCCAGCATTGACTCCCCAAATCCTGGCTTTGGAAAGATTTCCTAGCAGCTGCCTCCCACTAATGCCATCAGGCTTGTGACTGATGCAGATACGGGCAGGCCGTAGGCGTCAGCTTGCGGGCGTGGCACTTCAGGGACACGAGAACCCTGCCGTTGCTTTCTACTGAGTGAGGGGCTCAGGTTGTGCGCCAGTAGCATCAATCCCAGTAACGAGGGGCCAGACCATTAGCTGGGGTAAGTTTGTGCCACTGGAGTCAATGAAGCCAAATGACTTACGCTAGCTGAGGACCTGACCCTAGGTGTTGCTTTCTCAAAATACTGCAACTGCCTAGCAGCACAAAACTGCACAGCAATATAACCGCACACCCTGCACGTCCCAAAAACCTGGCACCGGCAGGAGTGGCAACCAAGCCTCACGGGGCAGGATGAACTTCCAAAGGGATGTTTTAGATGTTTGTTTTTAACAGAAAAATTGTCGACCCTGGTAATTTTGCCTTTAACTTTGGTCATGTCACTATAAAAGTCACGAGAACATAGTGCACAGTGTTTGCAGAAAAGATGAAGCAGCTAATTTCAGCTGGGGCTGAAAGTAATGCCATGCATTCGGTTTAGTAGTTCTGTGCTGTAACCACACGATCTGTTCTAAAGCTATGCAATCACCTTGAGCTAAAGTACCGCCAAGAGCCATATTTCTTCACTGTGCCCCTACAAGAACGTGTTACAGCCAAGGACAAAATCATCCTTGCTCATGGAAGCAAGGATCCGTGAAGTGGATTCTCCTCCTTTTTTAACTCCCTTTGCTCCAGCCTTCATTCCTCCATGTGACTCAAACCTGCCGCCAGGGGAGTGCAATTCCTGGCCTACAGTGGGGCAGGGAGAAGAGCAAGCTGAGCTAACAGGGATCTTGCCCATGTTTAGTTTCTATAATTCATGAAAATCCTTTCAGCGACTTTGTACCGCACACCCTTACTGGCTGCATGTTAGCATGCAAACCCGGAAGAATGGATGGAACCCAGGTTTTGGGAAAAAAATCCCTAGAGGTCGTCAGTTCTATTCCAACAGGTCTGACGAGGCTGGGTCAGCAGGGCTGGGCTGGAAAGCGGGCTAGACCAGCCTCTCTTTCAGCACTCGAGCACCTGGCTCTGATAGGCAGAGTCGCAACATACGACAGCAAAAATGGAGGCAGGAACATTAACTGTTCTCAAATCCTGAAGAACGGCTTTGGGTCCATTTTGAGGCAAAGGGTTCAGCTGTGCGAGTGTGTGCACATGCCCATGCTCGCATACGTGTCTACAGCGCCGATACCAACACCGTCAGGCTTGTGGCAGGACGTTGAGCACACACAGCGTTTGCAAAAGGGACCCTCGGCGCAACAGCTTCGCCTCATTAAATCACAGCCACAATCATCCTCCGTGTCATTTCCATCCACCTAAAGAACCGTAACATACTCACGTCACATCACACCGAGGATACCATCTATCAACGGCTTAAATAAATGCCTCTTACAGTCACTCACAGGCAGTTAACCATAACGTGCTATGCCAAGGGCACTGCAGTACTAGATTGCAAGGCCGGGGATGATTAAACGCGAGTGACTCTTTCAGCCACTCACCCCATTCCTACAGCCTTTGAATTAAGTGAACTAAAAGGCATTTTCACATGTAGCTGCTCGTATTTAATCTAGGCTACTGTGTTGTTGGCCTTCCTGTGGCTGTCTGCCTGCAACACAGTCACAAACATCCCTAAATGTGTTTGAACTAGTCACCCACTTCAAAACTGGGGGCCTAAATTTAGCTTCCTTAGGCCATATTTAGATACCTGATTGTCAAAGGGCTGAGCCCTCAGCCGTTCACAGTGGTTTCAACAGGACTTCAGTGAAACCATTTCAGCGCTGGGAAGGTACGAAGCGGTACAACAGAATACAGCCCTTGCAGCAGGAAACGCGCGTCAGCAACGCACTTACAAACATGAAATAATGAAGCTTCATAACCCCAGCCACGCTGGAGGGCTCCTGCCTGAGTTGTTGCCCCGCAGTCGCTATCCAATAGCCCAGAGCAACAGTGCTACCAGCTTAGGCCAGGCAGTGACGATGGGCTCCACTGGTAACATCAGCAGGAATGTAGGTAGGGGTGATGCAGTTAATGCTCTTGGCATTGGGCCAAGACAAAAGGCCTAGCACCCCTCTGTGTATGAAAAATGCCATGTGGGGGGGGTTTGACAGTCACCACCAAGCCCCATTTAGGGGAAGTGCTGGAGGGGCCTGCTCTGGGATGAAATAGAAAACCCAACAATGCCAGTGTACTGGTTTAAGAGGGACGAGTGATGCGTGGCACCTCCTGCCACACCAATACCTCCTTCAGCAGCCCCCCCAGTTGGCCCTAGGAGTGCTGCCCCCGGGCACTGACAAAGAGCTCGGCTAGAAGGGACTCGCTGAGACCAACAGCTTATTTCCCACAGCCTTAATGTGTGACCAGCCCTCCGCTGGTACCGACAGCCAGCCATTGCCAGCGGGCCAGGCTTCAGATTGCCCGGTATCAGTCCCTAAGTCTGTTTCTGAGGTGTGAGTTCAAAGGGGCCTGCTGGGCTTTGCCCCAGGCTGGGAGGTGGTGGGTGCGGGAGGGGGCCATTAGAACATGTTTCTATTAAGCTACCACGGGGGGATGATGTCTGTCCCTCTTGGGCCATAGGCACCAGCTCACAGCTAGAGAGCCCATGCTAGTTGGTGGGCTTTAGGCAGGTGTTTGTGCTTTAAAAGCATATGGTTGCCTTTCCTCTGGTGTGCAACTGATAAAAAATCCCCATGCCCACTAATGACAAAGGGGGAGAGCGCCCTCCCCCCAGCTCCACTCCTAGCCCTGGCCATCGCCGATGGTCCCGCACTCAGAGTCCTGGCTGCCCCCACCCTCTCCATGTCTGGGGTCCTGGCTGCCAGCCCCACACCTGGGGATCGGCTCCCGCCTCACCCCTGGTCGAGAATTGGCCCCTGGCTGTGGCCCCAGCCTCGGGCCCTTACCCCGTCCACATTCCCCCTTGCCCAGGGCTGCAGCCTGCTCCCAGGTTGGGGACCATTGCATTACAGACAGGGCAGGGTTTTAGCTGTCCAACACCTACCCCCTGCTTTAACATGTAGGGGACCGTGCAGGTACTCCTGGCACGCTGGGCCCCACGCGTGACTGGCTGTCCTACTGCCACCCGTGGAGCAGGGGCGGTGGCACAAGGTCTACGCCCTTCTGCCCATCAGCCCTACAGCGGTGCCTCAGGGGGTTGCCATCCTTCTAAGCACACAAACCCAAACACCCTTGCCCTGCCCTGAGGCCCCGCTCCCGCTGTTACTCGCTCTCCCCCACCCTCACTCACTTTCACCAGGCTGGGGCAGGGTGGTGTGGTGCGGGAGATGGTCCGGGGGCAGCACTCCTGGCAGCGGCTGGCATGGCCAGCTCCTAGGCAGAGGAGCTGGGGACACTGCCAGCACCCAGGCAGAGGAGCTGGGGACACTGCCAGCACCCACAGGCACCATCCCTGCAGTTCCCGGCCAATGGGAGCTGCAGAGTCAGCGCTCGGGGCGGGGGAAGTGCACAGAGCCCCAGTGGCTGCCCCTTCTTGCGCCTAGGAGCCTGACATGTTGGCCACTTCCGGGCATGCTGTGGAGCCAGGGCAGAGATAGTTCAGTGGTTTGAGCATTGGCCTGCTAAACCCAGGGTTATGAGTTCAATCCTTGAGGGGGGCCACTTAGGGATCTGGGGCAAAATCAGTATTTGATCCTGCTAGTGAAGGCAGGGGGTTGGACGTGATGACCTTTGAAGGTCCCTGCCCGTTCTAGGAGATCTCTATTAATTAATTAATTTATTTTATTTAGGTAAGGAGCCTGCCTTAGCCCCGCTGCGCTGCCGACCGGATTTTAGTGGCCACCAGGGTCCTTTTCCATTGGACACTTGGCGACCCTAATGCCTCAGTAGGGAGCCACAGGCAGGCCGGGGAGGCAGCATCACTGTCCCAGTTTCCCACCGCACACCCCAGCTAAGCCAGGCCCCAGCCAACCCCTGAGGGATGACCTAGGGCTGCCAGCCCAGGGCCGCCCCAGCACTGGACCCGTACTGCTGGCAGAGCTCATGACAAGCGGCGCGCTCATGTGGAACACCCAGCTTTAGCGCTTTGAACTCTGGCCCCTGCCTGCCCCATGGGGACACACTGGCAATGCCCCATCCCTTCCCCCTCCTGCCCCTAGGAGGGAATAATTTCCATCCGTGGAAAGGCGGCTCCTATGAATTAAGGCTGAAAAGGTTTTGTGGGGCAGCTCGGGACCCCGGCCCAGGCAGCAATGGTGACGGAGGAATAAGTGCAGTGGGACACTAGGCTGCTGCCCACTTAAAATTCAACCCCCTGGCTAATGTCTGTGTAGATGGGGCAGCGAGGGTGTAAACCCCACTCCCTCCGGCTGCCCGACACACGGACCAGCGCTGCCTGTGCCGGGACAGCAAGCGCAGCTTGAGCCCTTCGTATGAGCACCCTAGGGGGCCTTAGTTCAAAACCCAATGCACCAGCCCGCTGCCCGCAGCTCTGAGCCCCGCTGGTAGCACATCAACCGAATGGCGTTTGCACTGAGCGAGTAACTGAGGCCGGGGGGCTGTGTTAACGTGCTGCCTACAGCATCCCCGTCCAGTGACACGCCGGCATCACACGCTATCAGACCCCCGTATGTGAGAGCCTGACGTAGCGCTTAAGGATGGTATAAAATAGTCCTAGCCCCTCTACAGCATCTATGAGCATCGCGTACGTGCCGTAGGTGTGTGTCCACTGCCCAGGCAAAATACTGAGAGACAAGCCGGCCCTTTAAAACAAGGGTGAGGGACTGTTCTCGGGCGCTAAAAGCCAACCTCCTTCCCCTCCCCCCTCCAAAATCTAGAAATTTGGGAAAGACACTAATGTTTCCACCACCAGCCTTAGCTCTGCCCCCACCCTGCCTGCTGACTTTCCACCCGTGGCTGGAGCCCTCTCTAGCGCCCGCCTGAAGACAAATCGCCCTCTGCTGCGGCTGTGAATTCCAAGAGGGGGGCCGTTAAACTGTAGCGCAACAGCCTCCATCACGTTGTGCTGCTGCCTGTGCTGGCGAAGCGCCAAGACCCCAGGACCGTGGCAGAGGGAGGAAGACGGTTCTGCCGTCACAGGGCCCATGTGTGAAGACGCTGGCCGCTAAGGGCATGAGCTCAGCACGCCGGCCGCCCACAGGCGGTGGGACGGGATGGATGTGCCTCTGGGAATAGGGTCCATAGCATTGCCTAGAACTCACACGGGGAAATGCCCTGCTGGGCGGACAGGCGCGTACAAAACCCAGACAGCTTCAGGCTGACGCAGGACTGGAGTGGGGCCTCGGTCTCGTACCAGCCGCTCTGCCTAGGGCTGCATTTCCTCCTTAGCCGTAACAGCGAAAAGTGCCCCGTCCCCATCCTTCCCCTTGACACGTCCCCTGCCCCTGACTGCGGTAAGACCAGACCATGATCGTTTCAGGAGAGCTAACACTGCTACTGTTTCCCCTGGAGTGAGCAATCACCAGCGCTCGCTCCGCCCGATGGGTCGGGGCTGAACCTGCCAAGTGTGGAATCTTCCCGCTCATTTTCCAGCTCCTGGAGTCCCTTGAGCTTTGCCAGCTCTCACGCTGAACCACCTCCTGAGTACGCAGCCTCCTGCGCCTACTCATTTTCAAATGAATGCCATGAGCCAGGAGGCATTTGCCCACGACCGCCTGACGACATGCCGGAAGGCGCCGCGCTAAGCACAGCAGAGCAATGAAAACGTTCTCACCCTGACAGGTATTTTTGTTCTAAGGAGGCCAACCCCCAGTCTGCAGCCGTGACCCTTTCTGGCAGAGGCAGGACGTTCGCTAACACCTGTCAGACGCTGCTGGACACTTACACAGCCAGCTTTGCGTTTTCTGCTGCTGCTGCCCATCACCCTGGTATCTGAGCACCTGCAAGTGTCTGAACGACACTCAGATCCATACAGCCCTGCACTGGGGCCCTTCCTATTCAGCCCCCCCACCGCCCCTCCTGGCTCTTCTCTCTAAAAGAGACTGAGCTGAGCCACCAGCTCCAACCAGGCTGACTTCTGGGAACGGCTGGAGCCGGACTTAGCCCCGTGGTGCAGGCCCAGCGGTGACACAGGTGGAGAGCGCAGTAAAAGCGCAGGAGGGGACACAATGTGGATTTGACCCAGGAGCAAGGGTGCCCATTCCTCTCCTCCCCGAGGCCTGGCTCTGCGAGCGGGGAGCAGCGCGTGTTCGGCCAAGCTGAGCAGAGACGTGGCCGCTAGTTACCTGGTGTGAGCCCATCGCGCTGGTCCCGTGGTGCGGCGTGGGCAAAGCCGGGAAGGGCCGGGAGGAGAGGTGAGGCACCGAGCACTTTGCCCAGCAGCTGGGGGCCCACGCTCAGCACTCGCACCGTCACATCCCGGCAGCAGTGGTTGATTATCCGCAGATGGACAGTAACTTTCGTCTTAATCTTTATCAGACACTTCACCATGGTGGCCTTGGACTAGCCCCCTTCCTGCAGCCTCTCCGCTCCCCTGGGCGCGGCAGCAGGGCACAGCCCAGTGTGGGACGGAGCCGCCGCAGGAATGCACAGGGTGAGGGCTGCAGCCGCTTCACCCACTGGCAGCAATGACGTAAATGACTGTGGTGAGCTGAGCCGGGAGCCAGCGCTATTCTGGGCTTCCATGTTGCTGAAGTGAGCGTGAGGAAAGGCAGCTGCAGCGGGGGGTTGGGTAGAATAATGGTGTGAAATGTTCGTTATTTAATTCCCGGCTTGCTTTGCAGTGGATCGTTTTGTGGCACATTGGACCGTGCTACCGCACTAAGTCATGGGGTCCTGGGCTGACCCCCTCCCCCCCGCCCCCCAGGACAGTCTGATATTCACCGTATGCAAACCAATCCTTCACCTCCTCTGGGACCATCCCCACTCTCTCAGCACCCCTAGAACGGGGGGGACGGGGGACTTTTTGGCCTGAGGGCCACATCTGGGTGGGGAAATTGCATGCAGGGCCATGAATGTAAGGCCGGGGCAGAGGGTTGGGGCGCAGGAGGGAGTGCAGAGTGCAGGAGGGGGCTGAGGGCTGGGGGTTGAAGTGCAGGAGGGGTGCGGGGTGTAGGAAGGGGCTCAGGGCAGGGGGTTGGGGCGCAGGAGGGAGTGCGGGGTGTGGGAGGGAGTGCGGGGTGTAGGAAGGGGCTCAGGGCAGGGGGTTGAGGTGCAGGAGGGGTTCAGGGTGCAGGCTCCGGCCCGGCCTGCTTACCTCGAGTGGCTCCAGGGTGGCAGCGGTGCACAGCGGGCCTAAGGCAGGCTTCTGGCCCTGCGCCGCTCTCAGAAGCGGCCGGCACCACGTCCCTGCAAGCCCTGGGGGCAGAGGGGACAGAAGGCTCCACACTCTGCCCTCACCTGCAGGTACCTCCTCCCAAGCTCCCATTGGCCGCGGTTCCCCATTCCCAGCCAATGGGAGCTGCAGGTGAGGGCAGTGTGCAGAGCCCTCTGCCTCCTCTATCCAAGGGGTCGCAGGGACGTGGTGCCCGCCGCTTCCAGGAGCGGCATGGGGCCAGGGCAGCCAGGGAGCCTGCCTTAGCCCCGCGGCGCCACAGGGGTGACAATCCCACGGGCCGGATCCAGCCCGTGGGCCGTAGTTTGACCACCCCCCACCCTATAATGCGATATGGGCCCAATCCTGCCTCCACTGAGGACAGTGGCAAAACTCGCTGGCCACAAGGGGGCAGGACCGGGCCCTGCTATCGTGCTGCGTCGGAGCCGGAATACACTGGCTTTTGGGAAACCCCGAGACACAACAGCCTTTCCCGTAGGAGGCTCTTTCTGTATTAGTCCCAGTTCTGTGCGCCAGCCTGTTTACAAGGGCATTCTGCATCTGCCGTGGGGACTAGGTCTGCACCACGCTTCCCGCTGCATGGCCCTGGCACGCACCTGAGTGCAGGGCTGTGTTGGGCTTGTGTTTCCCACGGAAAGTGTTATTTGGGCTAGGACACAGTGAGTGGCAGGCAACCCTGCCCAACATACCTGCTATCCCCTGGGATTCACACCACCGTTTCCTTTCCCTGGCACCAGCAGCTGCTGTCTGGGAAGGAAAGGAGCTGTTTGGCCGGGACGCCTTTCCCCTTCTCCTGCCCGAGAACAGATCTGTCTGTCACTGGGAAGGGCTGTTTTCAGTCACAGGCAGATATTTAAGTGAAGCCGATACTTAGCAATGGTGTCGCTTTCACCAGCAGGAATCTTTTCGCTGCCCAGAACTCCTACCGAACATCTGGGCGTTAGTGACAGTGATTCAACCGTCCCTATGTTCATTTGTATTTGAAAGCTGCCAGCCATGAGCTTTTTAGTGATGGGGGAGCCCTGCGAGATCCCCCTCCTCCCCTCTGCACAGGGCCTCCTAGGGTACGTTATCAAAGGGATGCCTGGGTGTGTAGAGGGGGGGTTAGTCACACTCCTCTCATCCCCGTTAGCACAGGTGCATGTGTTGAAAATGCAGGGCTTCTGTTCCAAACCGTCACCTCTGAAGTGGGTGGCAGAGAGCAACGATCTGGGCAGGGGAAGGACGGTGGTCGGGGAAGGGGGCGTTATCACTGCACAGCCTGCAGCCCACACAGGGATTCTGTCTCTGCAGACTGGTTGTGAAGAAACCAAGGAAATTCCCAGGCCACCAGCTTGTTACACAAGGGCTAAGGCTGTCAATAGCTACCAGTCACCTTAAAAGCAAGCTGCAGTTCTCTCAACCCACACAACGTTAGCCTGACAATTCAAAACAATTGTTGTGATTTGGTTTTTAAATGAATCCCCGAAGAAACCCAGGAATGAAGGTCCCTAGGCAGCCGAGGAGCCAGGGGCGGATTCTGATCTCACGTCCACGGGCGTCGCTCTCCCGCCTTCCTGGGAATGACTCTGGACTGGCCGCCATACGAGATCAGCATCAGGCCCCCAGCCACATTTTCAGCTGGCTGCCGTACCTGTGTTCACACGCGAGTGCAGAGGAGAATCTCCCTGCCTGTGCCCTGTCTGGCATGCACAAATGCAGGTTGTGTGTGTGCAAAACACAATCACAGATGTTCCAGACACAATTAAAGGAGGGTCAGTGAGATTCCAAGCGAGGAACGCCCGTGGAAGCCTGAGTTGAAGAATCATCTGCATCCAATCAGGGACCAAGACACAATCATGTGATCTCCATGTCTAATCAAACAAATATGTTTTGAATATCAAATATGCACAATAAACGTCTCGTGAACCACCGACAGGCTAAGAATCATTTGCAGAAAGTTTTTGACAGATAATCTGAAACAGCAAATATATCTGAGAAATTTGAAAGCTGTTCACAGAAAATGACAAAGAGAAGAAGCAGCTAAATGAGATGGCCATATTACTTGCTATGAATTGTTCACTCAACTCTGCTTATAATAAGCTATAAACTCATTTCTAGGGAGAATTCAGAGTTAATTCTAGGTGAGTGGCATTAAAACCCAGGCCTCAGGTACTTCCAGGTAAGTGCACTGCCATAAAATACAGGTTTCAGGGTAGCAGCCGTGTTAGTCTGTAACCTCAAAAAGAACAGGAGTACTTGTGGCACCTTAGAGAAATAAATTTGTTAGTCTCTAAGGTGCCACAAGTACTCCTATAAAATACAGGGAACAACTCTGCTACACATTTGATCTATCCTCTGCTGTGCAGACTTGCTACAAAGCCAACAATCCTGTCACTATACAAGAGCCCTATGATTTTTGGGGGAGTTAATGACCAAAGCCATTTTTTCTCCTTATAAGTGACCAGTTAGGGGGGAGGGATAGCTCAGTGGTTTGAGCATTGGCCTGCTAAACCCAGGGTTGTGGGTTCAATCCTTGAGGGGGCCACTTAGGGATCTAGGGCAAAAATCAGTACTTGGTCCTGCTAGTGAAGGCAGGGGGCTGGACTCAATGACCTTTCAAGGTCCCTTCCAGTTCTAGGAGATAGAAAGGAAATAATGGAGATAGCCTTTCTTTCGGTCAATATTTTTGTAATGATGAATGAAATATGTTTTCACGGTAATCAATGCCCCAGATAGCTCGGGCTCAGGGGTATTCAGCACATACAGAAACTCCTGTTAAACTCCTACGTCAGCTTCCCTGAACTCTCTAATTGGAGAATCCAGAGGAGAGCAACAAAAATAACGACAGGTTTAGAAAACACGAGCGATGAGGAAAGGTTGAAGTACTGGGATTGTTTAATCTAGAGAAGACAAAATTGTGGGTGTGGGGTGTGAGTGTGTGCGCGTGCTGATAACTGGCTCAACCGCGCCGCTTCATTCTTCGGCGGCAATTCGGCAGCGGGTCCTTCGCTCCCAGAGGGACTGAGGCACCCGTCGCCGAATTGCCGCCAAAGACCCGGACGTGCCGCACCTTCCCATTGGCCGCCCCAAGCACCTGCTTCGTTTGCTGGTGCCTGGAGCCGGCCCTGCTTAGGAAGAACTTTCTAACCGTAGTTAAGCCCTGGAGCAGGTTCCGGAGGGAGGCTGTGGAAGCCCCGTCACTGCCTCTAAGGTTTCTAAGAAGAGGTTGGACAAACCCCTGTCAGGGAAGCTCTAACTTCACGGTCCTGCCTCAGTGCAGGGAGCTGAACGACGTGACCTCTCGAGGTCTCCCCCAGCCCCACGCTCCTGTGCGTTCCCCTAATGCACCACAAGCCCTCTAGGCTGGTCCACAGCTCTCAGGTCAGAACATTAGATTGGGCCACTGGGAATTTTTTAAAAATAGCACGTTATTCCCTTTGGTGCAATATATATTTATACATGTCTATACCCGTATGTATGTCGTACCTATAGAACTCTATACGTGCCTGTGCATCGCTCTCCGTTTGGGTATATAATGTACATCATTACACAGATAAACGCCCATTACCCTAGAGTCAACTACTCCCAAATAATCTGTCTTTGGCCTCTGGGGTCCATTTAGCTCTCTTTAACCACACCCACCCACCCACCCCTCTTGCTTGGGAGTCCCCTTCGTTTGACTAATGCCAAGAAGCTGCTAAGATCCGATCTTGTTACTGTCATGGCAATGAACGGCCCATTGCTCTATTTGGCTAGACCCTTTGATCCTGCCCGAGCAGGCCCTTGCGAGTGGATGAGTAGCTACACCCTCCTGTTGCTGACTGACGTCTCCCCTTTACTGGTGACTGGAGCAGAGGAGAAGAAATCAGTGTATACGTTGCTAGCTGGTAAGGCAGAAACATCCACTGGATTCCTAGGTGAGCCACAAATGAGTGTGCAGCCGCATACCTCTGCTCTCAGCCAGGGGATTCTCTGCTCTAACTGGCAATTATTCCATTCAGGAGGGGACTAGGAGCATTAAACCAGCTGAAGCATCATTAACTGCCCTCGGAGCGGGAGGAGAATGGGACTGGAACACCGCGAATGCAGGTAAAACACAGCCAGAGTTATCCATGCCCCCAGCTCACCTTCCATGATGGAGATGTGAACAGCTCGCCTTCGCGTCCTGGGGACACTGCTGAGTCTTGGCCCGTGAGTGATGGAAGGGCAGCTGCGGCTAGGAACCAACCCTGCTCTGTAGAGAAAGAGAAGAGATGAGCACGACACCTAGGGACTAGTAAAAGGAAACCAAGCGAGAGGCAGAAGAGCCAGGTGCAAACGCACAGCTGCGCTCTCCTGCGCCAGCCGTGCAGGAGTCGGGTGCAGAGCGGTCAGACCAGGCGTGGAGAGCCCAGATGCAGGATGTGTGCACCCACAGCTTCGCTTTTGGCTTCTTTCCTGAGCTCTGCAGGGTCTGGATGCTGGGAGCTGAGAGTGGTGTTTCAAACAAGTAATTATTTCCCCCCCTTCAAGCACTGGAGTCCCCCCACCCCACCACACCAGACAGAAAACAACCTCCTTACAAAACTGAGGCGGACGCGAGTCTCTTCCAGAAACGTGCAACACTACGTCTTTGCGGCTCCCCCTGCAGGCACAGCAAAGCCAGGCCCCCGTTCTGCTCCCCGGGGCACAGAGGAATTCTGGCTCAGGAGGGGCAGGCCTGGGGGCAGCAGAAGTCTTAGAACTGCTGCTTGTTCAGCCCCGTCAGAAGCACGGGAATGACTGGGAGCAAAAACGCCACTCCGAGGTCCTGGTAACAGAGCAGCAGTGGCTATGCAGAGATGCAGACAAAGCACGTCTCCCCCAGAGTAACCACCTCTCCTTGGCAGGCAGTGCTGGGGCCTCAGCTTAGGCTCAGTGATGTCTGGTAGGAAGAGAATAACCAACGCCAATATCCGCAGATACTTTTAGCAACAGCTGGATGGACGCACGGACATTCAATCAACGAGTCCGTTTGACATGATGGCTTTGAGCTAAAACCTGCAGCCCCTCCTCGGGCGAAGCTCTCAGGGTGGTTTCAGACTAGCCTAAAGCTGAGTCAGGTTGTCAGGTTTTTGGTCTCATAGGAGCAGCAAATGCAGCTGCTGGGGAAACCTTTTGCCTGGTGCACATAGTACACACAGGGCCTGACTGATAACTGCGATTGTGATACACGTGTGTAATGCAGATGAGAAGCAGCTTGCAGGTATCAGATACATTATAGTTAGGGCCCTACCAAATTCACGGTCCATTTGGGTCAGTTTCACGATCATGGGATTTTTAAAATTGTAAATTTCATGAGTTCAGCTATTTAAATCTGAAATTTCACAGTGTTGTAACTGTAGGGGTCCTGACCCAAAAGAGGTTGTGGGAGGATTGGAAGGGGGGGGGTCAGGGTATTACCACCCTTACTTCTGTGCTGCTGCTGGCGGGGCGCTGCCTTCAGAGGTTAAAAGTACACAAAAGACCCCAGCAGTGGTGAAAAAGGCTAACAATGTTAGGAGCTATTAGGAAAGGCAAAGAAAATAAGACAGAAACGATCATAACCACCATATAAACCCCCTTTGAATATCGTGTCCAGTTCTGGCTGCCCATTTTCCAAAGGACATAGTGGAACTGGAAAAGGTTGAGCAAGGGTACGCAGCAGCTTCCATACGGGGAGAGACTGCTCGGCTCAGTAAAAGGACAACCGAAGGGGGATATGATAGAGGGCTGTACAGTCATGACCAGTGTGGAGAAAGTGCCTAGAGAAGTGTTATCTTCCCTTTTCCCACAATACAAAAACTAGGCACCACGTGGTGAAATGAATAGGCAGCAGGTTTAATATAAACAAGAGAAAATACTTTCTCCACACAATGGACAATTAACCTATGGAACTCACTGCCATGGGATGTTGTGATGCCCCAAAGTATACTCGGGATCAGAAAAGAACTAGGTAATTTCATGGAGGATAGGTCCATCAATGGCTATTAGCTAAGATGGTCAGGGATGTAACCCCATGTTTGGGGTGACCCTAAATCTCTGATTGGCAGAAGCCGTGTCTCTCCAAAATTGCCCTGTTTTGTACAGTGCCCCTGAAGCTTTGGTAATGGCCCGTCGGAAGACAAGATGCTGGGCTAGATGGACCATTGGTCTCACCCATTATGGCCGTTCTTATGTCCTTAATGACAAAACTTACATTGACTTCGATGGGGCCAGGGTTTCACCCACTGTCTAGTCACAGCAGCAAAGCTCATTAGCAATGTGTTTAAACAAGCCGCTATGACCTGAAACACCACACTCAGCCCAAGAATCCAACCCCAATGCCAGCGCTGCCCGAGTACCAGACTGCAAGAAGTGCTCAGTGTTACCGTAAGACGAAATAGAAGTGAACCAGTTTCCTTTCCAGCTAACAAAGCCCTTTTACTACCAACCTCTGCTCAGGAATGGTACCCCAGTGATATGCACCCTACTCGTGCAGGAAGCAGCCTGAAAGAGCACTTGCCACGCTCTGGCTGACTACAGGATATTCCCAACACTTTAGGCGGGACTGAAATCAAGGTGAGATGTTGTAGATCAATGCACCTCGTGTCCACGACTCTGCTATGAAGTTGTTGATGGTTCTTACCTGTGAATTTCTGGGGGCTCCCTCTTGATCTTGGCACTAGATTCCATCACTTCTTTTGCAACTCGGCCACTGCAAGTGGTTCAAGAACAGAAACAGGGCAAGAACTGAAAAAGCATTCTGGCTATTGCCGAGATTTTTCTACTGCTCTGATAAACAATCACCCCTTTGCCCTCGCCCTCCATAACAGTACATCCTTCAACAGAACTCCAGACCTACTCCAGTCTGACACACGGGAACCGAGTGCCGTGGGCAAACAGCCTCCAAACGGAGAGGAAAAGACAGACATTTGCTAAAAATGAACAGGTTTGGGGTTCCCAAAGGGCAGCACCCCTTTCGGTCACGTCCTGTTCGATCGGTCAGTCCCGCCTCCTGGAATGCACGTCCCACCTGAGTGGAATTTAATTCTCCTCTGATGTGTAGGATTCTGAACATCAAACAACAGGGGCCACTCCAGATGGACGCACGTGTGCGTGAGAACAGAATTTGGCCCAATGTCGCCACAATGTTTGGAGCCTCTTACAAATCTCTAATGCTTGGCGGCATCCCACACTTCGATCGTGCATTACAGCCTGCTAAAATTCAGCATCTAAACTTCTGCTTCAGATGCAGGAAGGAACATCATCTTTTAGTAACTGGAATGTTTCAACACACTGTTGTATTTTTAAAAATCCGCTGCAATTTTCTCTCTCTCTCTCTTTTTGGTCTGTTGAGGTAAGAGGGATATAAGGGATAAAACTGGGAATACCATGTAGCAAAATAAAACCAAATCCAAGGGAACATAAAAGGATGATTAGGTTACGTGGCTACCTGGAAACGCTTTGATACAAAAATCTCCTGCGAGAAAGGAGTCTCTTTTCAGAAAGACATTCAGAAAAGTCTTGTATTTACGCAGTCAAGAAGCTGCTACATCCACCACCACTGAAAATAGATCCAGTAACTGCTACTTACTGTCATTATTTACCTGTATCGGAACCGGCTTCCTTTAAAGAACAGGTTGCTGCTGGATACTGTGCGGACCTGGCTTGACTTCTCCAACCTGAAACAACACCAAGGACATGGAGAACCGTCCACACACAGGCCGGGCTGCGGCAGGTCAGTGCCGATGGATGTGACGCGGCGCGCTGGCCATGTTTTACCAAGAGCGGCCGCCCTGGCCTTTGGGGTGCAGCTGGTTCTATTAAACGATCGACCAGTGCACCCGCAAACAGAGCCATGACAGACAGCGTCTTCCCGTCCGCGGCCCCTACCCGCAGTCTCAGCTTCCAAACTCAGGTGGCAGCAGAGAGCAGGACCCTGAAAAACTCTGCGAAATCTACACAAGGACTCAGTTCAGGGCGTTCGGATCTGGACAATACCAACTGCCATCGAACAGGGAGCGGTTCTGAGCACCCCCAGCCCCCAGGGAATCAGGCCCTCTCAGGAGCAGGCACTTCCATTGCAAGTAACACCGTGTTACTGTCAAAATGTGCCAGTCTGGTCTCCTTGCTCCGAGCCAGCTCCCTCCCCGCCTCCCTGGGGTGCTGGAGCACGGAGCTGCTGGCAAACCGTTAGCCACCTGTGAAACAGGGCTCAGCCCTGAACTCGAGGGAAACAGCCAGCCCACATCATTAACACAGCCCTGAATGGTAACCATGTAACCCACGTCCCAGGGACACGGCCACTCAGGGTGGGCACAGATGCCTTCGGGGTCACTGCAGCCCCACCGCACTGTACGTCCGACACAGTCACGTGGGCACGGTGTGACCGGACTGTCCTCACACCACAGCGACAGTCCCTGCCGCAGACATTCACTAGAACAGCGCACAAAGGAGGCAACTTCTGAGGCCGACACAGGCACAACCGGACTGTGCAAGCGGTTAACAATGGGGGTCGACCCTGCGCTGGTGACAGGAATTCGGCTGGCTGCCCGCCCCAGGTCGCTAGGGCACTGCACAGTGGCTGTGTTCTGGTCAGAGCTGGCCACGGGAGAACCCCCCTCACACGGGGGAGCTGTATAACCGTCTCCTCCCACACCTGGCACAGGGGGGAGGGCGTGGGAACGTCCCCAGGAAGGGAGGGGTGGAGTGGAGCTCCGCTACACCTATCCTCCAGGGGCACAAACTGGAGCAGGTCCCCACCTGGGAGCCCGCTCCCTGCAGCCCTCGCCGCTCAGGCAGAGGGGAGAACCTGGCTCTCTATTTCCTCCCCCGCCCGCAGCAAACTTACTTTGGGCACAATCTGCTTCCCAGGACCTAGCCCAAATTACTGTGATGGGATCTCCAGGGACTGGGGGATCCCTCCATCCAGGCGTGCAGCTGCTCCTCACAGCATGCACACTGCTCCAGCCTCACACTCTGTGCGCCCACATTCTCTTCCCACAGGGGCAGATACATTCATGCAGTGCTGGGTGCACCCCCCAGGCCTCGCTCACCTGGATTCTGACCCCAGCCCCCACTGCAGGCAGTGCTCACGGAGCCCCGCATGGAACTGCGCCACCCTTCCAACCCACTCAGGGGAACCCCATGGTCCAGCCACGTCTGGGTCAGTCAGAGGAGCTGGCAGGGGCGATGCACTAGGAACAGGAATGGACAACACACTGACTCTTCAATCTACTTCCCGTGGCACAAGAGGCCCCCCACACAGCTGCCACGGAGCAGGAAAGCCGCACAGCTGGAGGGCTTTGCTTTTCTGTTCCATGAAGACAATTGCATATTTTGGGGGGGAAATGACGACCTTTTGCAGGTTTTTGCCCCAAAGCAGAACTGCAAAATCAACACCAGAATCCCGATGTCAGGACATTTCCTGAAAACAGGCAAAATAAATGGAGGAGAAATCAACGCCCCCTCCCGGATCACGTACGAACACGCAGGAAGTGCCGGCCACGGAGAAAACGGCTAGTCTACAAAACGGCCTGTACAGCAAATACCCCTTTCATTGTGCACCCGGAGCCGGAGGAGCTGGACGAAGAAACGGTCAGCACTAGCCAGCCTGGGAGTTTATTTGGTTAGTGATGTTGCTGTGGCTTCTGTATGTAAATGTCTAGTGAGCTCTGGAAGGTGCTGAAGGGGTGCTGCTAGCTTATCGCATACCAGCGCTTGTCAGGGTAGGGTGCCTGTGGGACATCCCCATACAATGACTCCGACTTGAAATGATTTAACTATGGACTTTATGTGTGACCTCAATTAACCCCAAACCATCACTGGCAAGGAACTGCCCAGAACAACGGGCCGATCCCGAGACCCTGCAGCTCCCACCACCTCAGAGAGCAATTGCAGCTGCTTGGCTCCTCCCAGGACTGGGCCCAAATCCGCTCGCAGGGCAGCCCTGCTATAAACGGCGTTTCGCTGTCGCTGTGATCTCTACAGGAGAAAGCTGGGTACACGCTTTCAGGCAACATTACGTAAGTGTTTTCAGAATGTTCTCGTGACGGAGCGTACTGGAAACGCAGCACAGAACAGTGACACTGGTGCGGTCGCAGGGCAACGAATGTCTTTCCCCGAGCCACTGGCCTCACCACTTCTACAGCGTGCAAGGAAGGGAACGCAGCCCGTGTGGGCTCCCTGACACACAGCATACCCGGGCAGGCCTGCCCCTCCGCCTTTCGCTACCCCTTCCCCGGGGGGACAAACAGCTGCTTTTACTGTACTCGTAATTGGAGCTGATTGAACCTTTGTCGTCAAAACTTTTTTCCACCGAAGGAGGTGGGTTCTTCCACCTTTTTACTGACCGAAGCAGAAGATTACATTTTTCAGGCTTTGTCCATCACAAACGGAAAATGTTCTGTTTCCAACTACTGAACAAACATTGAGTTTTGACAGAAGAACCAAAACTGCGTGAAAAAATTCATGGACATAAAATTTTTCTTCCTTTTCTTCCAAACAATTTTCACAGAATGTTCAAAATCCATTTTTGTACCAGCTCCAGTTACAATCAGGAAAAGCCCTGACCTAGAAACTGACCTGGGGGGAGGGATAGCTCAGTGGTTTGAGCATTGGCCTGCTAAACCCAGGGTTGTGAGTTCAATCCTTGAGGGGGCCATTTAGGGATTTGGGGCAAAATCAGTACTTGGTCCTGTTAGTGAAAGCAGGGGGCTGGACTTGATGACATTTTGGGGTCCCTTCCAGTTCTCTGAGATAGGTGTATCTCCATATATTTATTTATTTAAATCCAACCCTCCCTCGTCACCAAATGTCAGGAATTCAAATTCCCAGGTTCCATCCCATCCCTACAGGTTCTGGTGCAGATCCAAAGGGGGGAGGCATCTGATTCAGGCTGGAGATAGCATGTGGCCAGCCCAAGATGGCAGAAATCTCACACGAACAGATGATCTCACGACAGCTGCACCATTCCAGGTGGCTTTTAAGAATGTCATCACTCTGCTGGGTGCCCTCAAACCCATCCTGCAAACACCGAGCACACTGCTGCACCTGCCTGCTCTGAACAGTCCCATTAACCCCCAGAGGTACTCCTACAATCAACGTATGTTAACAGGACTGCTTGTGCTTGCAACATGCTTGCCAGAAAGCATGAGCAGGATCAGGCCCCTCGTCTAATGGCCTCTTGCCCCCAATCCTCTGACAAGAAAATGGTAACTGGCGATGGGGCGAGGAGCTGTTGCTTGGCAGGGAGTCTGCACATCCCCGAGCTAGCACTAGGTGATGAACTCCAGAAACAGTTCCAGTTATTTGCAGTTTATCCTCATGCAACAGCAGCTCATGAGGGAGAGGGTGGAGGCGAAGAGCCAGTGGTCTCTGGCAGCCACATGCCTTTCATTCTCCCCTTCTCCAATTGAGCTCACAGCTCTGACCAGATGTAACTTTAGCGGCAGCAGCGGATAGGAGTCTGACACGGACTCAGAATGGTAATGAGACAGAATTCAGAGTCGGGCGGCTGAGATACAGAACACAATGAGAGAAGAGAAGTGGCTTACGCAGGACGGGTACAGAACGGAAAGGACTGCCAAGAGCTTGAGTTCTAATTATACCTATTCACACCCGCAAATCATTAATACTGTACCTCCCTCGGCGACCTGCCAAGAACTGAGACAGACCCATTTCCTGAACTTTACCCACGCAGCCGAAAAGGTCTATTACGATGAGCTGCTCTTTAACCAGGGTGCAGCCCTTTGAAAGAGAACCTGGGCTCAGACAGCATCTCCAGCGCCATGGGCGCCCAGAGGAGGGAGAGGTGGAGGGTCTTTTTTAGGTGGTGATGTAGGAATAGTTAAGCGAGAAGTTATAACTAGATAAATGCTGGTGGAGGTTTGAGTAGCCCCTGGCTGGCCACTGGTGGCATTCTGCCACGCTGTGCAGTCACAGATACGGCAGGACACAATGAACACAAGCATCACACTTCATCATCAGGCCAAGCCAAGAACGCTGCATCCCAGGAGACGAGTAACAAGCTTCTGTGCTTGGTTTCTGCACGGGCTGAAAATCTCCAGCATATTCAGATACTTACCAGAACCTCTGATTGGGAGGATGCTGAGTACACAGATCACACACTACCTGGAGGCAGCTTGGCACCTTTCTGGATGCGACTTTGGTCAGAAATACATCAAAAGCCCTGAGGGATGACACCACTTGCTCCTCAGTCATCCCAGGAGAATCCAGCATTACCCCCATTGAGCAGTGAATACACACTGCAGCGTGAATGAGACCACGGTCCGTTTTAATGGGCACGTAATCCACCAGTAATTCACCACCATTATTAGTCGTAACAAAAAGTTGTAAAGCAATAGAGCAATTTCATTTCATGTTCATGTAATGAGACATGAAACCTGATGATTGCAGCTGCTGATTGCAGTATTCCCAAAGTGAATCCATTACACTTTATCTTACATCTCACTGATTAAAATAAAACTCATTACAAAGTACAAAGCAGTCTATTTTTAAGTAAAACAGAAAGCAGCGTGGTGAAACCAAAATGTTCTATCTGATGTCTTACTGATTTATAGATAAGTGACTTCTTTTATACCCTGACTCTTTCAAGATCAAACTAATTAATCAAAAGAAGAAAGGAACAGAAAACTGACCTATTTTCCCAAACAAGCATCCCAGAGAGTTCCGGTTTTGTAAAGGTGCAACAATTTCTACCCTAAAGGCTTCCCCACTTTTCAGCCCCTAACGGGTGCTCTCCCTCTCTCCTTTGGAAACAAGGAATGTCTGTCTGGGGTGTTCTGAATTGGGTGACAAAGCACTGTACACTCTTCCAAGATCTCACTTTCATAGCTTGTATCACTTTGAATAAGCCTGTTATAAGACCAGGCTCCTATGTTTCATCAAGGAGTATCAGATGTGAAACAGCAGGAAGGTATTTAAGAAACCAACTCAGAGTTCCTCCCACACAAGCATTCAGGTCTTGAGCAGTCCAGACAAACAAGGCACGTTACAACAAAGCTTAAACTTGTTCTTCATAATCATTTTAAAAACAACACTAGCTGCCTATTTAACTTTAAAAACAGCAAAAGATGTCCACCTCCCTTTCCATTTCTTATAAGGAGTCTTGAAGTTTAAATCTCCTCAGTGTGATAGATAGGCTTGCTTTGATCTGCTTAGCTCTTGGAAGTCCAGGGGCTCTGGGCTGCTGGCCCCAGGCTGCTCGGGGTCCCTAGGGACAGCTCTGTCGCCATTAGGGAATTTTTTCTTGAGAACCCCCTGTAACATTTCACGAACCCCCCGGGGTTCACAGACCCCAGTTTGGGAACCACTGCTATAGTACAGATGGGAACTGAGGCTCAGAAAGATTAAGTGACTTGCCCATGGTCAGACAAGAAGTCTGTGGCAGAGATAGGAATTGACCCCAGGTTTCTGGAGTCCCAGGCTAGTACCCTGCCCCCTATACCATCCTTCCTTCTCTATTCAGAAGGGAGAAGGGCCTGAAGTGTCCAATCATAGTCAGGAACACGCTTCTTTCAGTTCTTCCCTCTGAGCTGCATTTGCATTAGATGCCTCAAACTTTCTGATACGTAAAATCAATACAAAAAAGAGAGATGCCATGGGCCCGATTCTCTGTCCTTCCAAGACCCTTCGTGGTGCTGGGCTTAAAGCGGCTGTCGGGCAGGAAACGAGAACTTCTTACTACTGGAGATTTCTTGGCTAGCACAGGGCGGGGGTGGGGATCCAGGTGTGCTGGGCTCTGGAGATCCCAACTAGTGGAGCGGGGAAAGGGATCTGATAACCCCCAAGGGAAGCTGTTTCACTTTGTGCCAGGGGCCGGTTCACCCTCCAGCACCCCCATGGTCAGTGGCTTGGAGTCACTGAAGCCCCAGCCCGTCTCCAGGTGTGCGGACACAGCTCTGGCACCGCTGGGGATCTGGCCCGTTTGTTATAAGCAAGGACGTGCCTGATCTCTCTGCACTGGTGAGGTTTAGCGCTGTATTTGCTGTAGCCGAGCACTCAAAGGCAGGCTCTATCAACCCATGGGTTGCGACCCCAAACTGGGTTGCCAGAATGTGTCAAAGGGTCCCCTGGGAGGCCAGGAATTTGGGTCCTGCCCCCAGAGCGGTGGGAGGACATGAGCTGGGGGTTGCAGCACCTGTTCTACACTGGCTCCTGTAGCTCCGGTCCCGGGGGGCAGGCAGGGCTCAGGGGGTCACAGTGCTGCTCAGGTTTGACCCAGCCATCCCTTGGTCGTGATGATGTGGGGGGGCCCAGCCAGGCCAGACTTGGTCTCTATCAGCTGTTTAGCCTTAAAGTTTTAATCTCCAAACAATTAAAGTTTTAATTTCCCGATTAAACTTTTACGGCTAAGCAATTAGCAGTGGAAGTTTTAAATGCTAAGCACTTGGCTGCATTCCAGAACCAGGAAGGGGGCGGGAAGCTCCCAGTCTGGAGCGTAGGCACCTTGGCAGATGGCAGACCTGCTAATCATTATTGTTTTTTAATTAGATGCTCTTGTGCCCTGTGACACAGGAGGCAACCCAGGTTGTCCACCTCCATCTGCCTAGGGCCATGTTTCTTGCTCCATGACAGTCTATTTCCATGACAGCAACATGGTATCTGTATACGTCACCTGTTGTCCTCCTCTTGTCTGTCTTCCACCAGGGCTAAAGCCTGTCCAAGAATACAGGTTTTTTCCTGGGGCATCCTAAGCTACCAGCGTGTCCCTCGGGTGGCGGATGAGGGAACCCCAAACACAGTATGGGCTGTTCCAAATGTATTGGATAAGGAGCCATGGACCAATGGTTGTGCGTCAGGCTAACCACCCAGCCACATAAAAAAAAAAGTGACAGCTATGGAAACCCCCCTGAGATCTGCTAAGCTCCAGCAGAGCAGGGCTCCTTTCCTCCCGGCCTGAGCAGGGGGAGGTGAGTGACCTGGGTGGAGGCATGGAAGGAGCTGGTTTGGATTTGAATCAGATTCTGTGCTGCCTTGATGCTACAATCGCATGTTCATACAAGGTCCGTTGCTATGTGGGATCGTACCTGCCCACAGAAAATGTACAGTACGAAACATTTTAAAAAACTCCTAATAATCTTTGTACTTACTTGTAAAAAGCTTGGTTTTCTATCCCACATTTCCAGAGATGCTTGCACGCTTCTGGTGTTGGAGCAAAATAAGTAAGAGCAATTTTCTTTTCCTACAAAAAATTCCACATGGAAACAACTGAGTGTGGTTAGCAGGCGGCATGTTTACAATCTGCAGGGCAGCTGAAACTAAAACAGCTCATTTATTACACAGCAAACCTTCAGGAATCGCCACAAAACATGGAAGAATGTATCTGACTGACTGACCCAGCTGGAAATAGGTCTGATTTCCACGGGTAAAGACGCAATTACCTGATGCTTGGTTCATCCATATTCCTGTGTATCCAAAAATATATATTTTAAAAATTCACAGGGATTAGCTAACTATCTCTCATGTGCTGTACTGTACTTAAACCCATTTCGAAATCGAAATGTGCACACTCCTTTAGATAGCCAGGTCTGACTGGGATGGGCAGGGATAACGTGGACCTGAGAAATAACACCCCGAAATGCAGTGTGAAGCCCTGTCCTGAGCAGATGACACAGATATCGAACTGGATGCCATTCTAAGAGATACCTGAATGTTCTGACCCTTGCAATGGTCCGAAAGGCCATTTTGTTTGCCACTGAAAGATTTGTGTATATTTTTTAAATCCATGTCATAGCCTTCCTTTGTATTTTGTAAGTAAGGGCTGGATCTTGCTTTCCTTGGAGCCAACAGAGATCAGACCCTAACTGTGTGATTACAGAAGGCGGCTGCAAAGCAGAAATAAAACAGTTATTACTTAGTCCTGCCTTGAGTGCAGGGGACTGGACTAGATGACCTCTCGAGGTCCCTTCCAGTCCTACACGTCTCTGCTTCCATGATTAAATGCAGCTTCTTAGTTCTGGAACAGACTTCGGGAGCTGGGTTTATTTTTTCTACCAGACACAATAGCAAATGTTTAATATTTGAGGCAGAAGTAAAGACTATACCTAGTGAGTACTGAAATGAGGAGAAAATCCACTCACCTCTTTCTGACTTACATATAAACAGAATGTCTTTCCTTCGAATTTCATTTTGGCTACCTCGTTCCTAAAATTACAAAACCACGTATGTAACAGACCTGTTGCTCATCACCCATCTCACTCTCATTAATGCAGAACCCACACACAGTGGAATTGGACCCGGTAATATGCACAAATTAAGCCAAATTGTTTGTATGAAACGCCAAGTTAATCAATAGACGATTTTCAGAACAGTAGTTGGAACAGTCTCCAAGCCATATTTTTCAGTTCGTCCGAAGGGTAAGAGAGTGATAAGAGGACTCCTGGCTCATGGACAGTGGCTGGAAAGGGGAACGTCTCGGGATGGAATGTGATTCGCAGGGGAATGTCCAGGAGTCGTCTGAGAACTTTGCTTATATATGTGCATTATCTGGATGAAAATATCAAATGTAAGATACCACACTGAGCCAAAATTTGAGATACAGCGAAGAATGAGGAACAATGCAACCAGATTCAGAGGGTTTGGGGGGGTCTTTCAGGTGACTGGGCCAATACATGGACAATGCATTTTAATGTAGACAAATGTAAAAAATGATAAGTCTGGGGCAACAAACCAAATATAGAGAGTACATATTACATGGAACAGTCATGCAGCGTACTGACCAGGAAAGGGGTTTAGGGGTTATTGTAGAAAAATCCTTGAAGCCATCAGCCCAGTGTGTGGCTGCAGTAAAAAAGGCAAACAGGATACTGGGATGCATCAACAGTGGGATAGAATACAAAGCAACTGTACATTGCATGGGTTAGATCTTAGCTAGAACACTGCGTTTGGGTTTAGTCACCCTTTCAAAGGAAAATACCATTGCCCTGGAGAGGGCAGAGTTCAGAGCGCCTAGAGTTAACTTACTGGCAGCATTTAAGAGGACTTCCTCGATTTAACAGACACTTTGTGTATCTGTGAGGCAGCTGGGGTTTGCATTTACATTGCATTTTCATTTCTATTTATGGCATTTTCCGGACTACTTACCAATTAATGCTTAAGAGCATGAATATTCTATGTTTGTGAGACACTTCCAATGGCTCATGCAACAGGTCAATCAGGCAAAATGTACCCTTTGCACCAGCAAAACCGCTTATGTGCACAACCCAGGTAACTGCATGTCTAACCATGCCTCACAAACATCGTTACCAGGACGTGTGTGCACAGTCGTCTGACTGCACATGCTAACATAAGGCTTTGCAAAAACAGAAAATACGCATGCAATTTGTGGGAGTCATCAATTGCTGGAATCTTGAAAAACCCACATGTGCACACGGCATGAACCCAATCCTGTATCCACAATGGAAATGCTCGATGTGCAAGAAATGCAGGATAAGCCCTATAGATCTCTAGAGTATCTAAAGGGTTAAGCTGGCAAGAAGCCCCATTTTTGAGACCAGCCAGTGTAAGCTCGCTGGGCAGCTCTGCAGAAAGATCTTAACCAATATGATGATCCCAGAGTTTAAGAAAAGTTCTCATAAAGGTTCTTCAAACATGGTCTCAGCTGCGGGGCCGAAGTGGAACAGGATTAACTCCTCCCCCTAACGGGAGAGACGATCTAAAAGGAATTTACAACTAACAGTTAATTGGCAAATTCATTTCACTTAGATTCCCAGGTCCTGTCCTCACATGCCCCGTGTATCATGGCCTATATAGGAGAGCTGCTCTGTACCATACACTAAAATATTCAGTTACTCTAGGCAGGGGAAACACTCGTATATTTCTCCTTGTGGGGGGATGAAAAGAGCAAGTTACACAAATTCTCCTTTGGGGAGGGGAAGGGGTGAAAGGGAGAAGCAAAACCTGCCAAAAAAAGAGATGTGCCCAGATCCCAGGCTGAACACACAGTCAAACCCCATCACATAATTATTACTAACCATCCAGGCACCTTTGAATAATCCCATAACCAGAGACCTATGCCATGTTCCTAAATATATCCACCGAGCCTCCTGTTCTGCAACCAGTATATTGAAGCAGCTGACAAATGGTTACTATGATCTTTGCACAAGACAGAGACTGGGGAAGGGAGATTCTGACAGTGCCCAGGAAACGCACACAACCCAGACTCAGTCCGTGGCGTGCACAACTGGAATTTACAGCAGAATTTAGCCCACTCCATATAAAGTAAACACAGTGCAATGGGCTCCCTATTCCATTGATTGTTACTTTTAAATCATGTGAATTTGTAATCACTGAAGAGGCCGTACTGAGCCTCAGTAAAACAGCATGACATTAGTATTAAGAAATATACTCCGATTTTATAAATACACCAAATAAGAGGGCAGTAAGAACGATATCAAGCGCTTCCCATGTGCAAAGTGCAGCGTGAACATGGCCAACTCACCATCACACTGCAGAGCTGTCTGGTCACCACTGGAACACCTTGCAGTTAGTTCATCGCACGAGGAGTCAGGAATCGTGCACAAAATACTAGTGCAATTGGGCTAACACGCATTGGGGTTTATGGATGTGAGGAGATGATCTTTGTTCCTGATGAGGTTCCGTTTGGCAGCATCCCAAATGTGTTTCTCTTTCTTTCATGTATATGGTGTGAAATTCACCCCAGCCAGAAAACCCCAGGAGGTGCCTGTCTGCATCCTTAAGTTACTCAATGCCTTTAAAAAGAACAGGAGTACTTGTGGCACTTTAGAGACTAACAAATTTATTAGAGCATAAGCTTTCGTGGACTACA